TCTATCTATCTATCTCTATAAAAGAAAGACAATATCAAAAATCTGTGAATTTGTCTCATACTTTATTCTTATTTTCTTTTTTATGTTTTTTGTTTTTATTTATTTATTTATTTTTATTTATATAATGAATTAAATTTAATATATTACAACACACAATAATTAGGAAAGGAAATTTTTTTTTTCTTTTCATTTTTATATTTTAAGATCCCTTAACATTTTTATTCTTACACTAAATTGTTGAGTTTATTGATAAGTGATTTAGAATATATATCCACATAAGTATATCATATGTGGGTATAACGATTTATAATTTATTGTGATATTATTTAAGAGATAATAAATAATTTAATTTTCTATATAAACATCATTTAGCGTGAAAACATAATTTACATACCTATATATATATATATATATATATATCTATATCTATACCTATACCTATATCTATACCTATACAGTTCACGGTAACAAAAATGATTGTGATTTTTCTTCGATATAAAAATCTTTCATCTTTCATTCAGTTGTTATGAATGCAACTAATTCCCTGAAATAAACATGGTCTGGCAATAAGTCATATTAAGAACATTAAGATAGATTTATCTTCGTTCGATTAACCCAATCAATATATAAACTGATTAAATATTTTTATACGCATCCTCCCCCCAGGGGGGGGGGCCCGCCCCCGTAGAGACCAAAGATATTTTCTTTTAATCCAAATTCAAGTATCAAATTAATGTGAAAATATCGCTGAAAGCCTCCATTTCCTAGGGCATAACTTACAATAAATTGCAAGTGCTCAGACGAACTAAGATATAAAATTTTACTACAAACAGGTAAAAAACTATAACATAAAAAAGCTGTAAAAATTATGTAAAAAAAAAAAAAAAGAAAACATAAACAAATTAAAAACAAATAATCCGCCTGAGCGGTGGCGCACCAATCGTCTTGGGTTCATATTTCAAGTGCTAAAAAAGTTTTCAATAAAGCCGATAGCCTCAGATGCTAGTGCTTTAAGACTTTAGTCTTAGAATTGACTTCTCTGATAAAATTAATTAAAACAATAATAGAAATATTTTTTTAAACAAAATGAAGCGGACCATATTCAAATCATGTAGGTCTATTTTTTGGACTTCACTCCATCTGAAATTTCTTATGAATGGTGAGCTCTTCGGAAAGAGATTTAATTTTTAATATTTTATGATACAATTTAGCAAAACAATTAACATTACATAAATAACATAAATAAGGTTTATTATGAAAAACCGGCGCCTATATGGAAAGAAAGTCTAGATTCTAGTTATCTATGACTTGGAACTTATAAAATTAGAAAACTGTTTGAAAGCCAATTAGTTTTGCTAAATTTGGATTACGTCATATGACGCGGCTTTTATGAAAAGTATACCTTTGCACTCAAATAATGCCTAATTTTTAATGAATTATTAACAAAGTGAACAAATGAACAACTGCACTAGAGGAAGTCGTGCAAGGTATCTAATGGCCGCATTAACATTTTTATAGTTCGGCTAATATCGGAATAATAAATCAATAATAATATGACCGTTAAAAAAAATGTAAGAAAGTCGCATTGACATTAACTATTCATCTGTCAAGCAAATACCACATGTTAGTGCAGTTGGTAGACACTTTGTATGCATTTGGTTTTATTGAATTTGATGATGATCTTTGTTAGGTTTTAGTTCGATGTTTACTATAATATGTAAATTAATTCCGGACGGACAGTTGGAAAGAGACGCATTCCTAAATTAAATTTCAAATTGTCAAGCAGTTTTGGGCGGCTATTTCTGTCTCCTGGAAAGGACAAAAATAGTGTACACCTCACTGTATAATTTTATTACGAAGAAAATTTGACAATGTTTCCTTTTTGTGAACTATATATATATATATATATATATATATATATATATATATATATATTATATACATACTGTATATACATACTGTATATATATACATACATTATATATATATATATATATATATATGTAAGTTTTTTTTAAGGATCAATGGTGTGTGAGACAATACGTAATGAATTGTTTTGCGATGTATATACAAGAAATTTTCTATAAAATGAAGGAAATATATAATGAAATAATTACATACATTACATCTGAATACCCCACACTATTATGCTTATCTTATTAATATGATCAATTAATCATTAATTGATAAAAAAAAACATCAAATATGATGATGGTATCGATTAAGCAGAAATCGTATGAACGATAGGCACATGTAAATGAGACATGTAACATAATTATCTTTGATCGTGAACAATGCTTCTATACCCATCACCATTATTTTGAAAAAGACTAAGCAAAAGGCAACGATTTCCATACTCTATAATATTTACAATAGACATTACACGGACGGACAGACGGACATGTCTAAATCGAATCAGATTTTCATGCTAATCAAGCATGGTATACACTTTGTGGAATCTGCAAATGTTTTAATAAATTTAATATATCTCCTCGATAATGGGTGTAAAAATACTTTACAAGTTCGGTAATATCTTATGTTAGGTATGGATTTTTCAAAAATTATAACTAAGATATTGTTTTGATTTGATGAGGATATATTGGGAATTTTTCAATTGCAAACATTCAATGTAGACGAAAAAGGCCGAAAAAGTACTCGGGAAAAAAAAATTTATTATTGGGTTGAAGTTTTCTGCTGTATATATATATATATATATATGTATATGTATATACATATATAGATAACGTCATCGAGAACTCAAAAAATTGCCTTTTATCTATAGCGACAATTTTTATAATCTACACCGCTTGTGGTATACGCAGAATCACTTAAGATAGATCCAACTTTTATTATTATAGCGACCGATGCAGAATCGTTTTTTGAATTGATCGAAGCGTGTCTGTCCGTCTGATGTGCCGTCGTGTGTTTAAGCTATCGGTCGCGATTTTTGAGATATTTTGAGATGAAATTTGGTATACTCACGTGTTCTGATCCAAGGACGAATGCTATTGAAAATAGCTTGGATCGGCCCACTTTTTCAACCAGTTCGCATATAACGCGATAAAAATTTCAATAAAGAATGCATTTTTCAAAATTTTTCAAGTAAGTAACAGAGTCGCGGTATCCTAAATTAATCTGGGGGCAACTTTTTTAGACCCCTCTCATATAACGCAAACTAAAGTTCAATTGACAAAAAGATCATGATATTAATTTAAGATAAAAAAATTAACTCCACCAAATTTGGACCATCTTGGCCTATTTTTTTGCATCCTTGTATGATAAAAAAAAAAAAAAAAATGCATTGTAATAAATTTGGATCACCTGCGCCCTTTTTTGGATCCTACCTATGTAAAGATTTTTAAAAATGTTTATTAGGGTAGAAAAGTGTAAGTTTTAATATTTTATGATGAAAATTGAATTTCTTAGGCGCAACCATCCTTATGGAAAGTAAACATTTAGGTGTACTTTTTAATATATTGTTATATAGAATAGTAAGTTCATATAAAAATAGGATATAATTTTTGTGTTCCACGCGACAAATAAAAGCTGTGTTAGACACTGTGGTGTAGAGTATTAAATAGTCGACCTAGCCCCATTATAATGTTTTCATTTATTTTGTCTTAAAAACATAAACATATGAATGGAATGTAATATGAATGTAAACAAAGCTATCGAAACGGTTCAAATGAAAGAAGTGTTTTATTTTAACAAATTCCGGTACTTTTTAATGAAGTATTTTTTGTTCCACGATATTTCTTGCAGTGTTATTCAATTGAATTATTTTTAATTAAAATTTAAATAAAATATTTGAGATAAGAAAATGTTGTTTTAAATTTCATAAATTTCAACTTTTGGAAAAATATTCCATAATAACCATTTAACATAATTAATTATATACATATTGAATAGAATTTAGCATAGTAGCTATCATTGATTAGCGTATAGTGTAGGGCATAGAATTGATTGGGTTCGATCCAAAACGATTTAATTTCATTTTATTTTTATGTATATATGCGTTTATAAATATTATTCTATTGTTAAAGAGAGATTAGAAAATGAATGATCATAGTAGTAGTAACAGTAGTAGGAGTAGTAGTAGTAGTAGCAGTAGTAGTAGTAGTAGTAGTAGTAGTAGTAGTAGTAGTGTAGTAGTAGTAGTAGTAGTAATAGTAGTGTAGTAGTAGTAGTGTAGTAGAGTAAAGTTGAACCCTTCATGTGTGTGTGCGTGTTTGGTAGTACGAACATTCATTTCTTTTCAATACTATAAAGGGTAACTAGGTTGATCATGTAGATCATGAGAAAGATCACATATATTAAGATGTGAAGGAGAAGAAAACAATTTGATCAAGTTGAAGTATAACTTAAATTAAACAATTAATTATAGTAAATAATGAAAAACAAAAAAAAAAAAAAAAACAATCATTTTTAAAAGTATATTTTTACAGTGAAGTATATAGTCTTGCGACGTTTTTTACACATTCCAGCCTATTTTCGATTATTAATCTATTAACTAACAGAAGAAAAAGAAGACATTTTTTTACAAGAAAGTTCGTCTAGATGTGTGAGTCTATGTGTGATTGTGTGAATGCAATATATTTTAAGTTCTATTAGGAAACAAGTAGTTTTTTTTTTTAGGATTTTTTTGTTTTTTTTTTTCTTAATTTTTTCTTTTGTTAAGAATGTACATTTATTGTGACAATGTGACGACATACGATAGATGCCGACTACTTCGTAGCGAGTTTTTGCTTTTGTTTCTCCTTTTTTTTTATTTATTTATTTATTTATCAATTTATTTATTTATTTATTTATTTAATTATTTTTTTTCTTATTTTTTACAATTAACAAATATATAATATTTTTTTGGATAGAAATGCAATCAGGAGACGCATTCCTTTGTCATTTAATAAGCACTAGTTTGACGTACCTCTTTTAAATTGTAAAATATCCACATTTCGGCGATTTTCAATTCGTAATTTATGCGTATCGAATATCGCCTAATTGCACATCTTCAATTTTAGATATTTTACCCTTTAAAAAAAGTCGTCAAAGGTTTTCGATTATGTTTGGTATTGAAGCATAGGCGCCGACAAATTTGGATGATGCGAGCTATTCATACGTAACGCTGATAAACTTTTATTATACCATTCATCCTCCGGTGACATGCCTGCGAATAATTCAAATTAAACAAAAAAAAAAAAAAAAAAAAAAAAAAAGAAGAAGAAGAAGAAAAGAAATTTTCATTATATTTATTATTAAATATTATTTCATATATTGTTTATGATTATTTATAATTAATTATTATTCATACGATAGGATTAATATGGTATTATTATTACATTTTTTCAAAAATCTATTTAAAAAAAATTAATTTATTTATTAAAATTCGAATGCCTAAGAGAATGATGTAATCAAAAAGTCTCTCTCGTTAGTGTTCGCTTACATTTGTCACAACATCAGTTATCTTCTCCTTCAACTCAAAGAGGACTAAACGAATCTCATAGCGTGTAATGTAATGACTTAACTTAATCAGTTTTGATGCAATTCATTACAAAATTCGGGAAGACTGAATCGATTGAATAAAGTGATCAGAAACCCTCTGTCCATTCTATAGGAGAAAACAAAATCGAAACAGTTCGCAAGAGTATCATTAATTGTCCAGGGACATCAAGTTGACATTTCGAGCAACTCTTTATAGCGTATTCTTAGGAAAGACATGAATATTCACTGCTTACAAAGTTCCGAAAATCGAAAGACAAAAGATCACCTGACCACGCACACCGTTAAGAGTTTCTTGAATGAATTATGAGCTAACAGCAACAAACAACAAGTGAATGGTGAGTTTTCGACATCCTCTGAGTGCAAAAAAAAAAAAAAAAAATTTTCCTGCAAACGTGTATATATGGGGGAAAATTCGAAAAATTTTAAACTCGAAAGCCTCTTCTCGTTTGCAAATTAAGACGTTATATGGGAATCCAGTTCGTTTTCGGATTAAAACATTTTAGTGCAGCAAAAGTGTGCAACGCCCTGGAAAGAAATGAGACGGACAGACAGATGGATAACTTTTGCGCGCGGTTGGCATAATAAAAGAAGGGTCAATTTTAAGCCAGCCTTTCTAGTTATTACATACATCCATACAAATTTAACATATCCGTATACCGTAAGTGGTGTAAGGCATAATTGGCGATTTTTTTTTTTTTTTTTTGAGACATGAAATGTGCTGCAAAAAAAGTGGCCTCCGCTTTTTTGCTAGTGTAGCGATTTTAGAAGTTTTGCACAGTACAGTGCAATTAAGCTGCATACTTGGCCAGGCACTAGATATGCGCGTCCGGCATTTTATATAAAATTATTTTCTTAAATTGCCATTTAACCGCTGGACGGTCAGCTGGCGTTTTCAGTTCAATTGATTTATGATTTAAAATGGCTGGCGTAGCGTTTAAAAGTTATATTTTAACGATAGGTGGAAATGCATAATTAAGATGAATTAATAATCGCGCATTACTTTTGCATGGCACATATGCATGTATGCCATCATATGAATAATTGACTAAAGTATTTACAAACATACACCAACACACACACACCAACACACACACAAACACACACACACACAGTTTTATTTTTTTAATAAATTTTATATTTATTCAAAGTGTCGTTTCTTGTATTCAATTTCCTAATAATTACATATTTTCATATCGCACTATACGTAACTAATAATAATAATAATAATAATAATAATAATTTTGTGCATTTACTTTAATAAACGCTTAAATAGTTATTTGTCTCTGTTTTCTTTTAGTTTTTCCTTGAAGAATTTCTTTATCAACGGAAATTTCCAAGTTACAGAATTTGCTGCATCGTTAACGTAATTGCTTAATTTCCGGTGCCTAAGAAAGTGATTTTTCTTATGTTGTCTTAATTTTTGTCTTCTCTACATCCAGACATTAGAAAAAAAATATATATATATATAAGATAAGATAAAATTTATTTTTGCATTTCTCTATACCACCATCGATATACTAGTGTACACTCGACTAGACTAGTACACTGTACGCTGAAAGTATACGAATTTCATGATTCCGTTTACAACATTTTCCCTATCAACACTTGTGTGGTATAAGGTATATTAAGTTTATGCGAACGTGTATAGCACATGGAGCGGGCTAAAGATAGTTTCGCCTTTTTCTATACCGATCGATCAATTCAAAATCATTCTGTGAATTAGTTTATGTCTGTTTGTCCATCTGTCTATCTATCCGTTTGATTGTCTGTTCATGTAAAATTGTATTCAAGCTATAGTTTGCAATTTTCGAAATAGTTTGATGAAACTTGGTACACTGATGTATTCTGATCCGAACGAACGAAAAACTATTGAAAATAGTTTGGATTTGTCCACATTTTCGATCACTCCCCTATTTCGAAAAATATTGAAATTTTCAACACTTCTCGACAAAAGTGGCTAAGTTCATATTAACTCGGCATTCTAAATTGGTGTGAAAATTTTGGACCATTTGGGGGCAATTTTTTGAACCTCTCTCTCATGTAACGAAAACTAAAATTCAATTGACGGAAAGCTCTAATTTTCAATGCTTCATAAGTTAAATTATATTCGGGCGTAACGAAATCTTTTATATCCCTCGCCGTTATCCTAAACAAGGTTAAACAACTGAAAAAGCTCAATGCTTCATCGGTTATAATGCGGAGTAGCGCAGCTGATTTTTTCTATTTTCAAAACAAAAGTTTTTGGTAAAAGTGTGTGGGTGTTGTAGGCGTGCCTTTGAAAAGTTTAGAAGATATCTTCATTTTATTTAATGGGAGATTATTTAAGACAGATAATACGCAGTTGGTAAGACGTTGGTAGATGGACAAACGAATAGACGAACGTGTTTAGATGCATTCGCCCAACTTGCTACTGACCTAAACTTAATATAATTTATGGGATTTTTGAAGCTTGTTTCTAGGAATTATAGAAAGTATTAAAAAAAAAAACGAAATTAAGCTTCGATACACTATACTATTGCGCGAGCGTGATTAATTTTTTTACAGGGGCTATAAAATCGCCCATAAAACATATGTTGAAATTTTTCCCCATTCATTTCCTATAGTTTATGAGTAATGAGAAAAAAAAAACACAATTTCTTATTCCTTTTGATAAACAGAGGTGCTCTCAGTTTGCATAGTACTGTCGACACGCCTTCGACCCATTTGACCCATTTTCAATACCAACTTGCGTGCAAGAACTTCCAATGCCTTTGTCACTTTTGCGATCAGAAGAATGTTTAAAACAGACATTACACCGAGGGATAGACGCACATGCTTGAATCGATTCAGAATTTGTTGCTGATCAAGAATATATATATATATATATATATATATATATATACGATTTGTTGCGTCTCCGAAGCTTATTTCTGTGCGTTGCAAACGTTTTGACAAAATAAATATAGTCCCCGTCCCCCGGTGATGGGTATACAAATTTAGACCATTTCGGCCTATTTTTTGGATTCTACATCATATAAAAATTTTCATGGAAATTAATCATTTATAGGGCAAAACAGTCTAAATGTTAACATGTTATGATGTGAATTAACTCATCATAGTAATTTGATATAAAAATTAGCTCTGCTGAATTTTGAGCACATAACTCAATTCTTGAAGCTCTTGGACACAATCATTCTCACGGAAAATAAGCTTTTTTCAATTTTTCATATACAGTTCCATAATAGTAAGGTCACAAAACAACAAAGTATAATTTTTGTATTCCATGTGGAAAAGTGGGAAAGATCTGTCAATTGACAATATGGTGTAGGGTATTTAATAGTTATCCTAAACCCCGACTATAAGTAAAAATCACTTGTTATTATAGAATGGTTTAGTTCTCCTAGATGATTCAGCTCTGTCAGCTCCGTTGCGATTGTCAAAGGACTGATGTAAGTATCAAGAAAAATGTCTTAAGAAGAAATGTCATAATTACGCTTACATTGCTTGTGCATTCGATGTATGAGGTGTTTTCATATTTCGTCGGCTACGTACATACGATTTTCGAATTTTTTTTTGTTTCTTTGCGTTATGTTGGTAAACTTGTCCTGCAGACGCATGTACATCTACGAGATGCAAAATTTTTAACATAAATATTTTTATTTAACTTTTAGCAGAAGGAAGATCGACAGATTGGCCGATTAGCAAACATAGGGAGCAATGTTTTCAATTGACTAAGAAAATATATATAGTTTACTAAAACTCTGACTTGTATGCATCGAGGCATTATAAACGGACTAGGAGAATTAGTATACCTATGCTTACTTTAATGCTAGCAGTAGCGAGATGATGAAATTCTTTGGTTTATACTTTACTTGTACGCTAACTGCATATTGATGTATGTTAAAAAAAAAACAAAAAAAAAAAAAAAACAAATGTAATAAATTGAGTTTGGTAAGCAAGTAGCTTCAATTTAGATGAAAAAAAAAAAATGATAAAGATTCGTCTCCAATGGCGAGCAAAGACTTTTCATTTATTTAATTTTATTATTTCGATTATATTTATCGTATTCTTCTTGAAAGTTTTTCGATCGCCAAGTCATAATAATAATAATAATAATAACAGTGAGTAAGTAATAAAACCGTAAAAGCAAATAAAAGTCGCAAAAGCTAATTCGAGAGAAGTGGATCTCGAAATCCAATATTTTTCAAAAGAAAATCTTTATCGAATGAGGAAAAATTTTTAATACTTGAAATACTTGAAATACTTCAAATCGTCCATGCAAGGTTTTGAAAATAAAATGAAGAAGGCATTACAAAGTCGCGTCTTTTTGTTTTTTTTTTTCCGTATAATTTTCATATTTTTCAAGTCTACTCTTTCTTTAAATTAAATAATTAAAAATTACATTCGATGCAACTCAATGGCAGAAATTATTTGCAGAATTATTTCTTAACTATTCTTAAGGTCAATTGTTTTGATTATCACGTTTTAGAGATCGGCGATCTCTACCCATGGCGTTGATAGTGCATGAATTTTCAATGAAAGAAGGCGTTTATAGAGTAGCGCTCGTGTACTGATAAAGAAGGCGCTATACTTTTATATGCGTGTCGGTGAACATTATGGGCTAAATAAGATGCGAAAAATATTATTAACGCAATAACAATTTTCATCGGCATGCTGAGACTTTAACTTGAGGAAGGCAAACACCGTAGCTATAGGGAAATTGATCGGTTTGATTAGTTGTCTTTCTTTGTTGCTTCCATAGAGTGTACCAAGAAGAGGTATTTTAAAAGCGCCTGAAACTCAATAACGTATGTCTGGCTAAAGCAGTCTTGTAAGAGAAATCGTATCCTGGAATTGAGTTATGTTAAACTTTCTGCATTGCACGTCAACTGCAAAGATAATAAAAGATTACGTTCCCCTGCTTTTATGAAAAAGTAGCAAAAAAAAAAAAAAAAAAACAAGCAAACGAAGACATAATTTTGACGCTAACAATTCTCTGTTCTTTCTACCGTTGTAGCTGTAAATGATAATCTAATCGACTTTTTCGAAGATAATGAAAGGTGTTAAGGAAGCAAAAGCTCTGGACAATAGTCCGTTTAAACAAATAAATGTTTTAAGCATTTTTCGCTTAGATCAGTATTTGATAAAACAATGCCTTAAAAGCATATCAGATTTGCTGTTAGCGGTGTGCAGCCTAATGGCGGGGGAAAAAGTCATGAGAAAAGGCTACTATAGTACTCAATATAAGGCAACGTCCGCATGGTCCGTACGATACTTTACGTTTTATAAATTTTATATACGCATGCAACAAATCCTGGCTTTTGTTTTTTCTTTCTTTTACTTTTCTTTTTTGCATTAAAAAAAAAAAAAAAAAAAAAAAGAATTTTTTTTTGTTACACGCTCATGCGTTTGTGTGTACGTGTGTGTGTGTTTGTGAATAAATTTGTTTGGAAATATTGTGAAATAAATTTAATCAAACTTACCCATTGAGTCTTGACGCACACCAACTGAACCCATATTAGTGCCGTGAGCCATTGAAAATGGTTGAGTCATACCAGGATACGATGAAGCACCCATTTGAAAGAGATCCTAATATATCCGCATTAGATAGAAAATATCAACAATTTTTATAACTAAAATGAATCATTATTGGATTTTTTTTAAAAAATTTTACCTGCGGATAACGATTTATTGAATTGTGATGCGGATAAGGTTGATAACCCCGTGAATATTGAATGTTGCGCATCATGCCGTTGCAAGATGGAATCACAGATGGTGCTAATGCTTTTTGTAGTTGCTTTTCTTGTTTACGATATTTAGCGCGACGATTCTGAAACCACACCTATTTAATGTGCGAATAAAAATTAAATAAACTATCAATTATGCAAATAAATTAAAGAAATTTTTCAAATTTTAGGCAAACTCTTTCAGTAAGAGACATATCAGTTTAAATTTCGCACTATATCATTGCGAGTATACTTGACGAGTAAAAATTGAAATATATTCGCTGATTGGGAAGAAATGGAAATAAATCGAACAAGATCAAGATTTTTATAATTTATTGATTATTCCCAGTAAAAAGCGATAATTTGTCGCATCCGTTGCAAGGGAAATAATCAAAGAATCTTTACATTAAAAACAAAAGACAACTTGGAAAACGCTTTTCGTCGTCGACGGTAACAGTGCCGTCCTTCGCTCTACAATTGATGCTATAAGTTCGGATTGGATAGTACATAATTTTAATAGAGTAGAGCAGCATTATAGCAACAAGCTGGCCTTATTGCGCGATATTGCGCTAGTTTAGCTTGACGCTCTTCGTTGAAAGACGAGACAACATTTAAACTGAAAAACAGATAAAACATTGCATAAAACAAGTTACGCGAATAAAATAGTGCGTAAAAACCAGCGGCACAAACAAAAAAACAAAAAAAAAAAAAAAAAATCAAACAAAAATTGGTTCAGTTGTGCTACCCTCGGCAATAAAAGCGCGCGAGTAGACACAACGAAGGACGTTATAGATACGCTACACCACTTCGCCTAGTGCACTTATTCACCAGTTTTATTAATAATATATCGGAAATGTGATCAAAATTCCCAAAATTAAACCTTTTTCTCAAGGGCTTATTGTTCATGACAAGTCTTATATGGAATGGCGTCCAAGAAATAAATCCATGTTTTTCAAATTTGGTTTTTAAAATTGCCATTTCTTTTTTTTTTTTTTTTTTTTTTTTGGTAAGTAATCAAAAAAGTGGATCGAATCGAACCATTCTCAATGACATTCGTCCTTGGTTCAAAGTGCATCAGTGTACCAGAATCCATTAAAATATATTTAAAAAAAAAATAGTCCGACCTATGATTTTGAATCGATCGGTATAATAACAGATGAATCTATCTTAAGCTCTCGTACTGAACATACCCTATATCATAAGTGGAGTAGCTTAGGATTAACCAATAAATTTACTATTTTTCCGCAAAAGATTTAAACAAATCAAGAAATTACAACGTTTCGAAAGATTTAAAGCAGAAATCTACTGAACATAGCCTGAGTAATATTTCAAACACAAACTGAATTAATCGAATTAAATAAATGAATTCAATTTAATTGATTATGGAAATATTGGAATAACATAAGGACGATTTATTCCATTGGTTATAAACATTTTCGCAAGTTTTCATAAATTCACGTAAGAGCAGAGCTCAAATATTATCTTTTACGAATTTACACAAGAAGCAGTTAGTTACTCGTAGACTAAATTACATCGGACCATAATTTAATTACCGTAAACAGTCATTGTTAGATTTAAGTTATCTGTCCGTCACATCCACATTTCATGAAAGTATACACATTATACGCATGGTTCTTGGACCTTTTGAGCAATGTAAGTTCTGCAAATTACTTACTTCTCCTTACTTCGAACGACAGTTACATGAATGGATGAACATGGATTCTTTACCCCATTTAAAGCATGAATAAATTTGACGGAAATTGTGATTAAATCAACTATGTGGCATTTTAGTCATTCATTTCTTCCAGTTTTTCTGCTGAAATCATTAGGTCATCACAATAGAATTTTATTGCAATTCCTGGCTAATAAACGCTAAACGAAATGATTTGCACGGCTCTGTTGTAAAACGAGTTTCACGACAAAGCGACATTTGCGCAAAACAAAAGCATAGGTAGAAGCATTAGAAGCTGATGCCTTTCCTAATTCTCACCTCTGCATCAACCATTCGCTTCTGATTTCATCAAAGCCGCAATATTATCTTAGTTGTTGTCAATCGGGGCTTTGACACACTTTTCACAGCATCGTGTAGCATAATCTGTCTCGTACATTATTGCTATATATAATGCGATCTATTTTTCATCGCTTATGTATAGCCTGATTTCGTTTTGTTTTAGCATCGATTTATAGATAGAACTATGGTCCATTAAATTTTCTATTTTTAATACATGTGTTCCACAAATATTGATCTTCTATATATATATATATATATATATGTATACATTTTTTGTTTACTACTTCCGGAATGTCATTACAAGCATTATAGGTAAAGTTTGAAAAAAAAAAAAATTGTGTTACGCGATCCTAAATTTATCTCTTGGATCACAAACTTTTTTCTTATTTGAATGAATTTTAGACCGACTTATGCTGCAGCAGATAATTTGGTTTAATTCGAAAAAAAAAAAACTATAATTTAAGTTTCAAATTTCTTCTCGTCTCTCTTCTCTTAGTTTTTGTGAATAAACAAACTGCCATCGGCTTCAACGTCCTAGAATCTTACGCTCTCTGACTACCGTCTCTGACGGCTAATATTGTGCATTAAAAAACGATAATAATAAATATGTAGACCTCCATTACATGAACGTGAATGAATGTAAAATTTAATGGTGTGTATGTATAGCGTATGGGTAGGTATATCTACATAAGAGACTTTCATTTAAGGATGAAAGAATAAATGCTTTTAAATATAATATTTTTTTACTCTGAACGATAAGAGCATATTATATATGCTTGATTGTTATATTATATGTGTTTGATTGTAGATTGAACATAGTACAAATATAAGGAAACATTCTTCCATTCTTAGGGTTGAAATAGGATAGTGTACCCTTACGTATACTTTGTGACGAAGCAGTGTTGCCTTAAAAAAAAACAACAAAAAAAAATTCGAGTTAGTAGTATTGTATAGTATTCTGATTCAATGCATTTTTCACATTTTATTGATTGTGTGTATTGTATTACTACTAATCAAGGAAAGTCCCAGGGCCGCAAGGAAGATCGTATAGTATAGTTCACTGATATGTTCCTCCTCAACTGCATACTTTATAGCGTTCATACACTTTAATGTTTTACGTTATTCTATGGTATGTGTGTGTAACAAAGATAGTCGAAGAAATTTTCGTTTGAAAAATGATCACTAAAAGTTTACCTTTCATAAGGACACTTGCACTCGTTCACTGTTTTGTATTAATTTTCATCTCGTAAAATGTTAAAAATTAAACAACGCAAAGCCTTGCTTCTTGTATGATCACGTATATGGGAGCCTGGCGGCAAAAGCATTATTTAAATTTTTTACATTTATTTACTACATTTAAAGAAATATTCAAAAAAAAGTCGTTCTCATATAATGACTTTTTCAAGAAAGGTTATTAAATAGGCAATGGGCGGATTCATATCGTTTTGAATACGGCTCGTCATTGGACCAGGAAAGCATATGATATCTTAGTTTAGTATATGAAATCTCATCAAAATATCTTATGAATTGCGACTTGCAGACTGAATATGGGAATAAGCTGCAAAAGTGTTAAAAGACAGATAGACAGACATGCGTAAATCGATTCTAAAAATTGTTGCAATAACAAATGGGTTTATTTTGATTCGTTCTCATTGGAACATTAGGGTATAAAAACTGAAAGCTGAACATTTGAATAATAATTTCTTCCATAGACGATGCAATGGGAATTCGTTACAAATTCTTATTAGAACTGCCTAGGAATGCAATTTGGATGTCCTTCCTTCAGTCAACGTGTATCCTATGATAGAAGAGTGCCGATGCACTGTTATTACTTCTTCAAGACTTTTTTCGCAAGCTTTCAATTTTCTAGTCTTTTCTTTACCTTCTAAACTATTTAGTCGTTTTTAGTTCTTTTGCTTTTTTTTTTTTCTTTTGTGAAGAAAATAAATCTTCATCGATTTTGTATATGTGTAGCCATACATCGATTCCATAGATGTTTGTTACTAACATAATAATAAACAAGTAAGAAAATTATATTCGATCGCGACTGAACGTTGTACGCCCGTCACCGTTAGTCCTAAAAAAGATTAAAAACAAAGGGGAGAAAAAGTAAATATTCATACTCTATAATATTAAGGGGGCGCGGTCGATTTTTTTTATTTTCAGTTATACATGCTCCACTTTATGAGTAACAAGCAAGAAACGCCGAAATCAAAGGTGTTCACACTTTTCGATGCGTAGATGTGTAGCCGCGGCAGGCGTGTTTCTTCGACCGATTTAGATAGTTTGCACATTTTCTTGCAGTTTTGTAGGCAATATCTTCATTTTTGCAAACAGGAGAATGTTTACCAAAGATAATTATTTTATTGCCAAATTATAATATACGGAGTGGGCGTGATCGATGTTTTCCCTGTTTTTCTCGTACAGGCGTTATAAGATGAGAAAAAATAAAACATATTTTTTTGCTTTTGAAAACCAAAGGTGCTCTCAGTTCGCAAGGTATTGTAGGCGTGTCCTTAAACTGATTTGATTCATTTTACGTAGCAACCTGCGTGCAAGAATTTTCAATGTTTCTGCTAAATTTGAAAAAGTTAAAAGGTTCATTGCGGCGGCCACGAGTATATTTATAACAGACACTACGCAAACGGACAGTCGGACAGATAGACGAACGGATAGACGGACACATTCAAATTGATCCGAAAATTTGATGCTGATCGAGAGCATACATATACTTTGCGGGGTCTATGAAGCGTCCTTCTGGTTACTAAAAGCATTTCAACAAAAGTGAATATATCCCTCATGGCAAATTTTTGAAAAATTCTCGGCAAAAGACACTGAATAAAGGTATTTCGACATTCTAAATTGATGCGAAAATTTAGGATTGGATGGGACAATTTTTTTAAACCACCTGCCTTATAAGTGCTAGTATGGAAATTAAACCTTTATATGCTAAAAAAAAAAACCTCATTATTAATATTTTGTGATGAAAATTCGTGTGTAATAGTAAGTTGACATAAGCAGTAATAGAAGCTTAGAAAATTTGGACAACATAGATCTATTTTCTGCATCCCACCTCATAGAAAAGTCTTGACGAAAATCAAGTAA